CCTCAGTTTCACGTATTGATTTCTCCACATTTCCCAGAATGACTTTCAGCAGTCTCCAACGAATGGCAGTGAACTTGTTGAATTCAGAAAGGGAGAAAGAAGTAGTGGAATGATGCCGTAGTCTACTCTTTGCTGTGATGAGAAGATGAGTTGTGTCTCTTTTGTTATATATTTCTTCCTCCTGTTCGTGGTTGCTACATTTAGAGAATTTCCTCTTTGCTTTTAAACTTTTTAAAGGTTTAGCTCATGGATGTGTACATTTAATATTACCTCTGGCTGCTGTCAATAATAGTACTATCCGAAACATTAAACAACAGCGTAGAATTTATATTAGGTTATATTTCAAAAACTGCATGCTCTTGGCTAGTGAGCTTGATCCAGTGTAGGATTGTCATTAAAAATCATACTCTGACACTAATCAGTGCTAAAAAATTGCTATTGGATTAGATCATCATCTGCTACAGTATCAATACCAACTTCTTCTTTGCACACTCCATCTGACACAACTTCACACAGCACATAGCCTCTCCCATCACTAACACATGAACATGATGTTAACATTATTGAACAACTCTTTGTAGGTAATTTTGAGAGGCCAGCAAAGCTCCCTTTTAAACAACATTAAAGCCATACACATTAATGTTACCTGTTTTACTCATAGACAGCATAAAAGCTGGACAGAGCTGCCGGGACGTCACCCATTGGTTTGACAACTTGTCATTCACGAGTTGTTAGCCAATGAGCATAGCACTGATATCCCTCTGTTTTGAAACATACGTCCTACTTTGCAAATCTTGTTCATAATATGACCAAGATTTGCAAAATTCAGTATGATCTGGAATGAGTCACAGAGCCCATAAACTTAACAGGAAAGTGTTTAAAGAGGTCAAGTATGAAAACAGTTTTCTTATAGATTTCTATGGGACTGGAAGTCTTTTAGCAACCACAGCTATCGACATCCAGTGGCCTTCTGATAGAATGTGGCTTTTAGCATGGTCTTCATATTTCTATCCTGGAAGTTATGTCAACCTTTCAGATTGTCTCTGATTTAATTATTAGTGAGTATCTGATATTACCCATCTGTTAGGGTCTTATTGGGGATATGGCTAGTGGACATTGGATAATAATAAACCAATAACATAAATTTTAGAGTTAGGTAGCAGACAATATCATACTACTATTCTAATCTTAATTTTCTTGTCTTGTTTTTTGGCTGTGCTGGTATCATTCATATAAAAAATGGAGTATTTTCCTGGATTTGAAAGTTTGAAATTCTAGTATTATGCCCACCCCACACTGGTGTCTCAGAGTTGAGCTGATTGCAACATGAAGCTAGTTAAGCTTGTAAGCGTAACTTGTCTGGCGTAGCCATCATATCTTTGTGTTTGTGTCCTGAGTCTTACTGTCCTGGTCTTATGTTTAGCCGTAGCAAGTGGAGAAATTGTTGTTATATGTATCAATAAATTACATCGTGTTAGAATATATTGTTGTTTTATTGCCCTGTCATTAGTCTAATGACATCATTATTATGCTAATTGAAAGTGAAGAAGTAAAGGTTGCACTGTGAAAAATCCCTCTGCTAATTACCCATTTAGACTATGTAATTATGCTAGATCCTGTCTTTTCGGTAACCTTTGGTGTTTCTGTGGGCTTAAAAATATGAGCTCCCTCCAAAGCATAAACCATGTGACTTGATTTTTTTACATTCCATATTTTCTCCATGGAAAATTAGGTATTTCATGTTAGCAATCCAAACTCAGCATCTGGCCACGACGCATAGGGAGACATTTCCCCCCAGGCCCTGGCACAAAATGTAAGCCAGTTTCAGTTTTCGCCAATTACTGTAACTGACACTGCTTGAAAATATGTAACATCAAACACAGTTATGTTTTTGATCCAAGGTGAAAGACAGCTATTCTGCAGTCAGTCACTAATTCGCTTGAATCTCAAGGGAGATCCTTAAAGCCTTCTGTGAATTCTATTAAGCTGCTCATTATTATTCTATACCTTATTTTAATTAAGAATAGTGAGAACCCAGCAGTGTGATTTAAGGGTACGCCTGTGTATGCGTGTACATAATTGCGCTTGGTTTTTCTCTGAGGTGGGGCAGGCAGTCGTTATGCTCATTCGTTGTGGCGCACTAGTTTTCGGCTAATCTCCATCCAGTGAGGGACGTGTTCTTTCATTAGCATTCTGATTATTATCAGCTCTACTGGTAGAGCCGAGCAGATAATGCAGGGTTTGGTGAATCTAGCTAACCACCTTCCACAAAGGAGGCATTTGGTGCAAGTGCTGGGTGTATGAATATGTTTTTGGGAAGAACAATGAGATCAGAGGAGGCACATTTTGCTCCGTTTAAAATGAAGAATGAAACCGCTTTCTGTTAGAATAAACCCTCCAGTCTTTGAATTTTGGCCGCTGAAATACCATTGCTCTCCTGGACTCATTTGGCTCCATCACACTCCGATAATAAGTGCAGATTGGCAGCCCAGCACTTCAGTTCAATAGATGGTGCTGAGCAAGGCTCTGGAAAATGAAGCGTCCACCAAGTTGATTTAAATGGAGAATTGTGATTAATTAGAATCGATAGTGTTAGCATCGACACTCACCGCTTCCCATCTACAATGCCCCCTGCCTTGACCCACACTTAATGTGCTTATGTACACTTTAGCACCTAACACGCAAGCATAAGCACGCGCATACATATTCATGTCATCGTAAGCAGTCCACTTCATTATAACTGGCTGTTACACAACGGCTGTCATGCTCTTGTGAGTTAGGCTCCCCACATACACCCACTCTCACACAAACACACACCCAGAAACACACTCCCTGAAGACACGGCAAGCTGATGAACAGCCTGCGGAGATGTGATGAGGCAAGAGGAACAAAGGATTAGTCGATTGAGAGCTGGAGACTGACTAACTGCAGACCGAGTCAGAAAGTGCTCACTACAGTCTGAACTGAAGTTGTACAGACACAATGTTCTCCCCCTGCCCTGCATGTCTGCAGATGACTTGTGGAGCCCTCTGCCGTGTCTTCCTTGGCCCACAGTGTAAAGGCTTAAGCTTTTCCACTAAGACTCTAGTCACTTTTTAGACCTCAGATGCATTAAGTGAGGGTCATTCTCATCTTTAGAAATGTCATGGGCTAAAGGATTTACTTACTATCTGGAGAGCACTGTATAAAGTTAAAGGCTGTCTGGTATTTCTATTAATTTTTTGGTCTTTATCAGATAAGCACATTGAGGCCACAGCACACGGTTTGGCCTGATGTCATTGTGCACATGTCCATTTGCAGAAAGTAAGATTAGAATTATTAGGGGTGTAAATGTGTCTTAAATATATTTTAAGACACACACTAACTCATAAACCATTGCTTTTCTCCTCACTATTATATATCATTTTTAACCCTTTAATCTATCAGTCCAGTGTTTTTGTTTTGTTTTTTAATGAGTGTAACCCATGATTATCAATCATCATGCAGTTAATGAGCTTCTTTTTTCCCTCTTAATACATTTTAGTTTCTGTTTACCTCTACTTAACATTTTTTTGAAAGAACAACAAAAAAAATGTGGAGGAGACATCGTTAGGCCCCGACTGAGGGGTCATTTTTGACCTCTAGATAGATATCTGATGATCGAAGGCGCTCTTTCAGTTGTGGCTTGTCTTGAGCAGCACCAAGCAGTGAGTAAGTCTGAGCTTGTAGGGAGGGGCGAAAGTATCTTTTAATCCCTCAATAATTCAGCTCATTATTTTTTTCCTACCCTGCCATGATTATATATTAAGTGATTGGCAGCTCAGTTACAAAAATATCAGCACTGGCATCAACTAAGCCAATATTAACTGAACTGTGCTGAGATATACTCAGAGAAGCTGTGCACGTCGGCCCAGGCCGGGAGGGGAGTCTGTCACTGTTGGGCCCTTATCTTAAAGTGTGATTTACCCCGGAGCCATTCCTGGCAGGGGATTTGAAGAGATGTCTGTAGGTGAGGACGGGGCAGACGCCAAGTCATCGCTCAGCAAGTCTTCAGCGGAGTTACAGCAGCTAAACTTGCTCTCATAAACAGAAAAACAGACACTCAAACAAGACTCTTTGTTTCATCTGCACAAATTTCCAAGGAGACGATCACAGTTGGCCCAAAACCTCGAGAGGCCCTCCATGATAATAACACAGCATGTTGCACTTTTCATTGGAGATGGAGTGGCCTTCTTACTTTGGAAAACAACAAACTCTTCCCTCTGCCTCACTAATAAACCCAAGAATAACATTTGCAGTTTACACATTGTAAGTTCTTTTTAATTGAAGTCATTGTGCGCGATTGTTTCGGAAGCGGCCCGGGAGTGTTGGTTTCAGATCAATGACTACAAACCCAGGAAATAATTATTTTGCATCAAGATGAAAGTCGGGCTACAGCAGCGCAAACAGCCTGTGGATCCAGCTTTTTTTTTTTTTTTTAAAATTAGTGCCGTGTGTCTCCTGCTCTGCGTGGCAAATTAACATCCACCATCAAGGATAAACGATTGTACGACACGGGTGTGCAGGAGAAGGGTGGTGGTTTGTTTGTGTGTTTGCAAGAGGTCGGGACAGGTGGGTGCTGAAGGTTTTGGCCTGTTTCGCTCCTAAGAATATAACCAGAAATTGGATGGATGTGCAAGAGAACCCTTCCAATATTTTTCAGTTCTAAAGATGAGACGAAATATGCAGCTTCAAAGTCAAAGTTCAAAACCGATATACCACATTCTTTTTTATAGCTTCATTAGCTGCTGTGGTAATCAATTTGCCTTTCCAATCTGCCTTAGCAAAAATTTACATCCAAATGCAGCTTAAACTTAAATTTAATGAAATGAAACAGTCAAATTTGTCAGCATGCCTTTGCTTTCAAGTTTACTAAAAACCTGAAGCCCTGCTTTTTTCATTCAGGTTTCATAAACCCCTTAAACTGCTACCATAAAATTTTGCTATGAGTGTTCCTCATCTGCCTTATCGCTGTCTTGCAGGGATGCCCAGGTTTGCCAACCAACCGTTGCCAGCCACTGCGCGACTTGGGGACAGTCAGGTGATGGCATGTGAGGTCAACTCGGATCTGGTGGCCTTCATCCGGTGGGAGAAAGACCGACAGCCCCTGGAGCTGAGTACCAGGTTGATCCAGCTACCGAGTGGAGCCCTGGTTATAAGCAATGCCTCGGAGACGGACGCTGGCACGTACCGCTGCCTTGTGGAAAATGTTGGCTCTTCCAAGTTGAGTGATGAGGCCGAGCTCCAAACTGTACCAGGTAATTTGAGAGAACACCAGGTGAAATGTTGTCCATTATGAATCTACATCTGTTACTATAGGAACTTCTCACTGTAAACTCAGTTATGCAATATAATGAATACACTAGTATTGTTTTCTAATATTAAAATATTTTACCCTGCTTGTCATCAGTTGTCACCTGTTAAAACGTCACCACATCTTTAGAGCTTTTAGACCCTCATAGGTCCTCTTGTGAGGTAAATTGAAATTTGTATATAGTCCAGTGCATCATTTAATTACAGCAGTACATTGAGTTCTCTCTCGGTTGCTCATTACCTTTAGTGTGAAGACACCCGGCTACCTGTGGTGAGAGATTTTTGAATGCTAGCAGGAGCGGTAAAATTCCCACTGGGGTTATCAGTGACGCAACAGTAACTCAGCTGCAGCTCAAAAGGAACCCGAATTCCATTGTGGCAGGGTCTTGTCTCACCCCCCTGGAAGTTTTATTTACTAAGTTGTTAAGCACCAGGCTCCTGCCGGCACAGGGAAGATATTAGAGGCTGTAAATCAGACTTCAACAAGGCCCCAGTGGGGGTCTTCATCTCTGTTTGCCTCCTTTAAAGATGTGTGGTAGAGTGGCAGGAAGTTGGAGCCACACAAAGGGGAAGATTTTAAAGCTTTGTGACGAAATGGAAATACATTTTTGCGTGGACACCATCAGATGTTGGAGGGACATGAATAAGTGTATTAGGTGTAGTTATTATCATGTGTAGTTGTGTCTTTTTTGTTTGTTTTCTTGTGAAGCCACAACCAAATACAGCTCTGGTATTTTCGCCGTGAATCGCTGAGTGGGAGTTTCACACATTCCTGTGAACTCGCAGCAGTTGATTATTAAAAAAATAAGAAGTCTGGCTGACCATGACCCTCGTGGTTATTACTCGATGCTATTCCAGCATTAAGTTGCAGCTGGAATCATACACAGCAGTTTGAACTCATACACAGCTTTATCTGTGCTAGATATCATTATCATTATTCAATCTGACTCTTTGTGGCTTGAGTGTCAGGCTGTCAGTCAGTCTTAAGTGTAAGATGGATGGACACGGAGGTTAGCTTACTCAACCCTAGCCTTAACCTCAGCCTTAACGGTCCCCCCCCCCCCGGTCATTTAAGAAACTGCAGGGGAAGCTGGAATTCCTGTTGCAGGCTGCAATTTACTGTTTGTTTGTCCTTTTTTTCTGATCAATAAAACAAATAATACACTTGATAAGAGTTCAAGATGAAAGCGGCTTTGGAAAATAAAGACAATACCCACTCTTGAGTTTTTAATTCTTCCCAGAAATTCTTTGCTTAACCTCAGTCTTAACCCTGACCCCCTTTTTTTCCCCCTTCACATCTAAGAAACTGGCGAGGAGAGGAAGCTGGAATTCCTGGTGCAGCCTGTGTCTGTGACCAAGACGACTGATGCCAGCGTGCTGCTGCCCTGTGTGGCCACGGGTTACCCTGCACCACGCATCAGCTGGATGTTTGGAGACAAGCTGCTGGAAGAGAGGTACGTGTAGGGCAGCTCTGTGATCTATTGTTTGATGCATTTATCTATTCTGATCGAAAAACGCAGAGATTGTTAAACAAAAAAGAAAAAACAACAGGTTTGGATTATCACCTGAAAGTTGCCAGTAATTGGCGATAGTTACAGTAAAGCCACAAGCAGTTGTGCTCAGCTTCCCTGGGCTCTCGCACATTCCTAGGTTTATAAAAGCAGCAGAGTACTGTAATGTACTGCTCCTTTGTACCCGGTGCCTCTGGCCTCCAGAAGCTAAACTGTTAGTCCTGGCGCCTGCTCCCCAAGGTGTTAATGCCGTTCTGCCACAGCTACCCAGAGAGCCCCGGGGGGAGACCTGGACGTGCCAACGGAGCCACTTCATCTGGGAGAGCAGGCTGCGGGGTTGCCAGCTGAGGGGAAGTTCACAAATTAAGAGCCAAGACAGAGTGTCACAGTGCCTGTGCTCTCACTTCTCTGGCTCTCATTAGCTCAGGCAGTGCAGCTCAAATCCCTCAGAGAGAATTGCATTGGACATGTGAAGTTTGGTTCTCACCAATTAAGAAAGCACTTTGTTTACCTAACCCCTGCGTGCTGCTCCTGTGGAATAATAACTCTTCAACTCAACGTGGCTAAAATGTGGCTCATTCATCTAAATCTAGCTCAGAATGGATTTGGGCGTTCAGTGAAATTAAATGTAAGGTCGTCACATTGGTAATCGCGAGGCCCCGGTGCGGTGTGAACGAGAATATCATTAGACCTTCCAACCTCTGGTTCCAAGCATAGCTCCACACCTCAAGTTTTTAATGCCTGTGGAATTGTCTGAATGTTCTGACCTCCAAAGGGAGCTGGGTAAAAAGGTACTTATTAATCTACCTTCTATTAAATACAAGACAATATCCAGCTCGCATAGCCACCCCCCTAGGGTGTCTCCGTTGGTAATTAGCAAGCATAGTGAAAAAGCAGGGATGTCTGGGTCATATAGAAGAAGACCCCGATGCTTCTGCCTTCAGCGCAAAAAAAAATTGAGCGGTGAATACATCTCCAAGGTTGTTCCTTTTGATTTTTTTTCTTTTTTCTTTTCATTAACGACGACATTGACAATTAAAAAGAATAGCAGTGGAATTTTCCCCTTTTTTCCTGTTGAGAGTCTCTTGTTCCTTCCAGGCATTACATGAAAGATAGAGGAGCTCCTGTCAATTAAAAATTGGTGTGGCATGTAGTGTAAGGGAGAGAGTAAGGGGAATCTGCAAAGAGTATCTAATTGGTCTTTGGTGCGCAACACAAACAGGGCCTTGAAAGCAGCGACGCTGGAGCTGTAGACATGAGATGAGAGTTGATGAAGACGTGTCAAAGCTACCAATCGAAAGCGGAGCAGCTCAGCGATGGTGGGGAGTATCGCTGCCGATCCTTCAGCTCGGTCACATCTCTTGTTTTCTTTTTCTCTACGTCTGAATTCACAATGGCTTACAGCCACTATTATCCCGAGCAACAAATAACAAAGGTAACGCGATAAGAGTGCAAGATGAAAGAGGCTTTGGACAATGCAGACTCTTGAATTTCTAATTCTTCCCTGTAATTCTTTGCTAGTCCTTCCACTTTCTGCCCGACTTCACTGAAGTTCTTTAAGATACTTTGAAAGACGCAGAGGAAATCTTCAAAAGTCTTTTCACAATGTGCTGCATAAAGGATTTCTGCCATAAGTAGGATTTCTGTCTTAGGTCTTTGAAGAGTCTCATTAGCATGTTATTCATAACCTGTCAGGAGACATTTCATTGGGATCACTTGCCCGTATTGGCATGTAGGCCTTACTGGCTGTTTAAAAATGTCTCTATGTTGACAGACAAGGACAGAGCAGAGGGCTGAAACTAAACAGGTGGTTGCCCCACTCTCAGTCGATCAGTAGCTGATTTCTCTTTGTTGTGTCCGGCTCACGGGGCCACTGTGTCAGATCTGGGAATAATATTCATAGATTCTTCTTGTGACCAAGAAAAAGCGTGTTGGATCTCGGTCAGTCACAGTCTGCAGTCTTTTACAAATCTGTAAGCGATAGAAGAGAATGACCTAACCTAACTACCGACACCACCACCACCCTTTTGTCATGAGTGAAAATTAAGTCCTGGACCTGTTGATTGTGGCTCACCTGGGACAGAAACTTGTCCTCTCCTGCATGTGTCTGAGTGTGATTATAAAGAATCATGCGGTGAGATGCTGCCTCACTTCACACAGGACAAAATGATCCGTTTTTACGTGTGAAGCTCTTGTTTGTTTGATCAACTCATTAAATGATTTATGTTGTTTTTTGCAACCCACCAACTTTTATTGGTAGACATATTTTTCTCTACTTGCAAAGTAATTTTTGGATAATATCTCGTTTGTTATGCATAAACATACACTTACTGGACACTTGATTAGGTATGTCTTGCTTGTACTCCCTTTGATCCTCAGAGCTATCTTAATTCTTCATGGCACAGATTCAACAAAGAGCTGGAAACACTCCTCAGAGGAAGACGGGACAAAGACATGCTGTGGATGAGAGCCAGAGATTAATAATAACTAATAATTTTACACAGAGAGGTGTATAAACACAGAGTCACATAGTGTACGGCAAATTCTGACCCTACCATCTTAAAGTATTCTTTTGGATGGAGATCTGGTGACTTAAGTACAGGGAAGTCTCTGTCATGTTTGATATTATGTGAGCGTTGTAACAATGATGAGTTATCTTACTGGAAGTAGGAAATGGTACACTGTGGTCGTGGTCAGCAACAATATTCAGGTAGTGCTCGGGGCTTTAAACAGTGCTCAGTTTGTACTAATGGGCCCAACATCATTACACCAGCAGCAGCCTGAATTCTTAATACAGGGCTGCAAGGATGGATCCAAACTTTCATGTTGTTCACACCAAATTCTGACCCAACCATCTGAATGTGGCAGCAGAAATCGAGACTCAGCGGACCAGCCAATGTTTCCAATCTTCTGTTGTTCAGTTTTGGTGAGCTAATATGAATCGTACTTTGTTTTCAGCTGACAGTAGTGGCTCACCATGTGATCTGCTATAGCCCATTAGCTTCAAGATGCACTGTGCATGGTTCTTCTGCATACCTTGGTCATAACGAGAAGTTATTTCAGTTACTATTGTCTTCCTGTCAATTTGTAAGCATTCTGGCCGTTTCCCTCTGACCGCTAGAGACAGTTGTGTAGGAGAGCCTCAGTAGTTCAGCAGTTTCTCAAATACTCAGGCGAGCCCATCTAGCACCAACAACCTTGCCATGTTCAAAATCACTTAAATGATCTTTCTTTCCCATTCTGATGCTCATCTTGAACTTCAGCACGACTAAATGCATTAAGGTGCCGATTAGCTGATTAGAAATGTGCACTTTCAAGATGCTGAACAGGTGTACATAACTGAAGTAAGTGACCGCAGGTGTAGTTGTCTGTAGAAAAGCAGGGCCTATCTGTTCCGATGCTACGTTTTCCAATGCACTCAGTATCGATCATACGATGGATTATTCCGCTGTAACGCGCTGTGTGTGTATTCGCCGGCGTCCTGAATGTTGCCTCAATTCAATTTAGGCTCTGAGCAATTCTATTGCCAAGGACACCGGGCTCAACATTTATTTTGATTAATATCAGCAACACTGCGACAGCATATGTAGCACTTTAAGCTGTTCCTTCAACACACTGAAAATGCAGTCTTTGTAAATATGCCTTGTGTCATCCGTCACACAGAGAAACAGGCCTTTGGATCTCTCAGACATACTGGTCCTGATGACACTTATGAAAAGGACAGTCGTCTTTTGTTCTCGGGAGTATCTCTCAGTCACCTAACAGAATTCCTCAGCAGTCAATAAAATGGATGAATTATGCATGTCGGCCAGCAACAGGGAATTGACTGAATATGTAAATCACCGCCCCCCTTTCCAAAGCCTCAAAGTCATCTGTCTCCTCGCCTCCTTGTGCTCCTGTGTTTGCTTAAATATTACTCTGTGTATTGCGTTTAGTTGTGCATGAAGACGGGAATTTAGCTCAGCATATTTGTTAGCTATCATATCGTTTCATGTATTTATAGCTGTCGCGTAAGACACCGTGTCACTGTTGTGCCCGCTTTTCAGCAGAATGACTTGTAGCGATGTGGAATCCAAACCACTAGTACCTTAATAATAATTTGAAGATTCACACCAAAGAATTGATTCCACGGCTCTTGAAAAGACGGCATGACCGAGCAAATGCCACTGCCATTTAAATCCCCACTCTTTCAGATGCAATCATAGATAATTGCCTCTTTTTTTCCTTTTTTTTTTAAAGTGAAGTCATAGTGACACTCAAAATTTGAACCTTCTTTGTTCATCACATCTTTTTTAATGTGTTTGCAGCGTTAAAACTCACACATTCAACCATTGTCGTTGTTTTGGGGTTTTTTTGTGAATTCCCACACCAAGTTTCCATGTGCCATCATGAGCTTTGCAGGTTTTCAAACATTAAAGAGAAAAGACATTAAAATAAAAAACACAGGCAGTGAAACTGAACCAAAAAATTAGCCTAGCCTGATTTTCACTTGTTTCTTTCGTCACACCGGCAATTAGCGTGTCATCCACCTAGCACTGAGGTCCTCCTCTTGCAGCGAATGATAGAGGTGTCAGTGATGTTTCGTGTGCATCTGGCTGACAGATATGATTACACAGACCACAGAACACAGTTTCTGCAGCCTAAGGAGGAAAAATGGAGAAACCTCTGTTGTCATCCGAGTGTCAGAATGTGAGTAATCTAATCATACGTAACTCTGTACAGCCCCTCCACCACAAAACCGTCTTCATAAAAGAGCTTTTTCCTGTGTTCATTACCGAGGTCATAGGTAAACGTTTCTGTTGTTTTTATCCCCCTTGAATATAAATGTAAATGTAGTTGCAAAACATCACTGCTAGCTACAGTACAGCAATGCAATACAGCAAATATGTACCTGATAAAGTGCATACATTAAAGCAGCATTCAAGATTCTTCTGGGTTTTCTCTTAGTCAGAAAACAAAACACATTAAGGAATTAAGATCAGTGTGAGTGTGAATGGAAAGTGTTCTGCTCCACATGTTTTCCCTCATTCAGAGAGGTTGGCATGCACGGTGGATATCCAGCACACCACGTACTCCCAGAGAGGCAGGAGGGTCCGTGTGCTTAGAATTCTGCATAGGAACTCAGATTTCTCCAGCATTGGTAAAATGATAGATGGCAGCAGCGGAGAGTGGGGTTAAGGTAATGGAGGGATTTTGCTGGCATGTGCAGGCTGAGAAAACAAGACAAACAACACAGGCTTTCTCTGAGTGGAGCAAGAGAAGTCTCTCTTTAGGCTGCCTCTCTCTGTCTCCAGCACATCAGTGTCTGTAGCTCTCCTAAAAGCATGCTTCCTGTCATAGCATTCATTTTTTTCTTTGCATCCTCATCACAATGTTGTTTTTCTTGCCAAGTAAAGATCCGTCAGTTGTTGGGCAGGGGCAGGATCCACAATCGGCTGCGTTTTTAGTCCTAAAAGGAATCTGCTTTTTTTGCGCACTGTGTAATTTACCTCATTAGTCAATGTAGGACTGAGAATATGGGGATTTATTCACTGATAGTGGAAACAGCTCACTTCCTCTCATTTGCTTTGCCTCTTCACCAGGTGTTATGTGGATATATGTCCCCCTGAGGCAGTACTGTGGCTTTGTAAATGTGACACAGCAAGGACCACACAGAGTTCAGGTGGCCTTGAGCACCTGGAGGCACACCAGCCATCCAAAAGTCTATTATGCGAGGCTTCATTGCAGTATGCACTAATCAAACCATCAGTTTATTCTTGGGGACCTTTTGTAGGGGGGGAAAGCAAATAAGGTAAGGAATGTGGGAGTTTTTTATTTTTTCCTCTCGAGGGTCCCGCAGCTTTCCGTTATGAACCAGAGGAAAACAAAAATGTTTTCATGACTGAGTCAGTTGAGAAACTTGAGCCTGTGCTGCTGGCACCAGGTTGTTTCTCATTAATCTTGCACATTAATTTTTAGTTATTTCTCCTTCAGTTTGTTTCTAAGGCCGGTCGGGCTTCCTGCTTTATCTTGTTTGTCTCTCCTGGTAGTTTCTTCAGCGTCATGTCTCATATTGGAGCAGGTATACATTAAAAAAACAGGGCGGTGGAGGGAGAAACCATTGCAACCCGCTGCCTGCCCTTTTCTCTAAGACGAGATCTGTTTTTGGCACACCTAGAACATGATTCAAATTCATGGAACTGTTATGATTTTGTTCTGGTCAAAATGGGAGAAGTTCAATTTGCGTTCACTTTGAACCACAAAGCCTAGAAGAGAGCAGAGTGGTTTGGATTCATAGTGCACCACAGTGCAGAGAGCCAGAGAGTGAAAAGAACATGAGATCAAACTGAGAAAAACTTAGGAGTTTCCACTCTATCCATTAATAATGAATCCCCCCTTTTTTTCTTTTCTTTTCTTTGTTGTTGTTGTGACAGTTGTGACAAGATTCCACCCGTTTTCCCCTCATGCTGCAGATAGCATGACCCGTGCCCAACTACTGTCACAACACCACTGATTGCTCTGTGACAGCGGTACTGCTCTGCCTCCACCTGCACAGCTCTTCAGTGATGTGCAGCTTCCCCTCACCCAGGTGTACTGACCTTGCTGCCGGTGTGTGATACGGAAGGCTGAGCCACCAGTCACACATACCAAATGTGTCCACGTCCTTCTCTGAAGCCTCTGTGGCTGTCGCTGCCGTCAAAGCTGAATAGCAGAACGGGGGACAAGTTTATGTTAGAGGCCCATACGCATTGACGGACGTACTCAACAAGTTTTCTGGATGTTGGAACTGTTGGAAAGGAGCTGAGGGAGGAAAGGGTTGTTGTGCTTTCCAGTAGTTTGAAACTGAAATGTGGTCTTGGGGTTGTGGTTACTCAGGAGGTCGAGCAGGTCATCTACTAATTGGAACGTTGGTGATTCGATCACCGTCTCCTCCAGTGTGCATGCCAAATATTCCAAGATATTAACCCCAAGTTGCTCTCCAGTGCATCCTTCGGCATATGATTGTTAGATAGAAAGCACTCACGTGTTGCACAAATTTTAGCCATATATGATGTCTTTGTATATGGTGTTGTTTCTGCTGGGACAAACAATGTGGAAAGTTGTAGTTGTCAGAAGGGGAGCTACTGTAGCATGAACGCTGGCACGAAATCTGAGAAGACAGCAAGCCTAATTAGCATCGCCGTTCAGAACACCGCCCTGTAGCCTTCGCTTTGCTTGGATTGTATGCATGCGTGCATCTGCCGTTTTTGTAACAAGAAGAAAAGTGACGGTGGGAAAACAGCGAGCCAGTTTAACATCTCTTTGTAGGTAAATCCAGTTTTAATTAGAGTCTCACTTACCACCGAGGACCTTCAGCTTACTGCATGAGACATCCTTCACATTCTTCCAGCAGGCACCGCGTCTTAATTTAAACGACCACAAGTGGAGCGAGCTCCCTCACAACAGTTTGAGGTGTCTCCGGCTCATTCAGCTCAAGCCAATTTACTTTGTCTCCCTCCCTCATGGTCTCAGTAATGCATTCCTTGTTCAGCGGAGCACTTTAGCCACTGCAGTTAGAGCCGAGATTGACTCGCTCTAAACGGAATGAGAAATTGCGCGGTGGTTTGACGTGTACTGTATGTTCCTCTTTCAACTACAAGAGGAAGCTTTCAATGCCTTTTATGGAGCATGCGGCATTAAAGGCCAAGAGTCTGAAAAGCTGTCCTGGTGAGACTTAACTGCAGGAACGCTTGGTGCTACATGCGTCTTTCAGAGAAATTTTTCATTCAGCGGGTTTTTGACATGCAGAGCCTCGGAGCACAACCAGCCACACTCGCCCTCACGCGCAGAGAGGTAATCAGTGTACAGCAGGACGTTTGGCATTTTCTGTTTTCCTTACTGCAGTCTCGGGACTAAAAGGAGAGGCAGCCGCCTTCTTTGTGTTTCCCCCACTTTCCCACCTTGAACACTGAGGCAATCCTCTGTCAAGCCTTCTGCTGAGTGTACTATTTTTGCACCTGTTTCTTTTTTATACAATCTGGCCCCGTGTGCTGTTTGTTCTTCTCAGATTGCAGCACTCTTGAGTTTCAGTATGGCTCTTTTGACCTGAGTACATATACCTGCTCCTGGATTGGATTAAAGAGCAAGCCTTACACTGCTCACATATCTAATGAGAGGTTGGTTACAGGAACTGTTAATGTGATTCCTCTAGAATTTTTTCCTAGAATATGTCAGCTAGTGTTGCCAACTCTGTGATAGGATAGCTGTGTAGGAAACTATGGCTGATGAAACTGCTTAAAGTTAGCTCTTCTTGACATAAACATCACATTTGACAACCTTCCCTGTACCCTTAATGATGACTTCTGACACCTCACGATATAGCAATAAAGGTTGATGACCATTAGAATATGCTCTGGGTTTTGGCAAGAGTAACCTTAATCCCCTTTTCCATTAGTAGCTACTTGGGTCACCATGGTTTAGTGAGCTCTGTACAGGTAGAGATCAATTGCTGATGCACCTCAAATATGACTGCTCTGTTCAAAAAAGAGAAACCAGGGTTACCCTTGCAGGCGTACAAGGGGGAAAGAGTTTAAGCTAACAATCTACAGAGGAGTAAATGTAGAGGCTATTCGTCGAATTCAGAGATTTGTAGCAATGACAGGCCAAGTGGGTAGATGCAAGTTAAACTCACTGAAATGCTTTAGGGTTTAAGAACCTTTGAGGAATTCCATTGGAAGTAAAGGATAACACTGATTTACACATGAGCTTCGAAAGTCCATTTTCTCGACCAGCTGTCAGCTACAAAATGATGAGATCAAACTATTTTTTTTTTCCTCTGGATGAGGCTTGATGAAGTAGAAATGAAACGGCAAAGTCTTTTTGGTGACAGCAGGTTGAGTGCCACTTGAATGCTTCTCTCCAGCACAGACAGATGGCCTCAACGACCAGCACTGCTGAACCCAGGTGCAGTCGAGAAAGGAGGTGCGGGAGCTTACGTGGAGTATCTTTGCCACTCAGCAGTTGGTTTAAAACAAAACCAGCTTTCAGCATATAGTTGTTTTCTTCAGTATGCTCCTCTTTTCTGCAGATATCCACTGTGCAGAAACCATTATGCGCTGATCTAGTGTTCCTCAGTTGCATCTCGCTTGCTGTGGCTGTCTTTTGGATTTTTATCTTCTTCTGCCGACCCGCTGATCCCGCTTTTCTCCCTGCATCCCATTTTCTCTCTCTCTCTCTCTCGCTGTCTGAATGCAGAGTTCTCTCTGCGAGCTATTGATTACCGTTTTTCTTTCCTCTCAGCATCCTCCTCCTCTCATGCTCCAGTGCTTGTTGAATCAAGCCGGAGCTTGGCCACAGACTGCATCCCCCGTGGGCTTGTTGGGGAAATCAAAGTTGGGACTGTTTAAAACGGAGAGGGGTCACTGGTTCAAAACGAGGCTGTACAAATACTTGTGTGTTTGGATCTTTGGGTTAGGCATAGATTCTTTAGGATAATAAGCAGCTGAATGAAACAGGTTTTCAGTCTGCTAGTCGGGCCCGCTTCACAGCACTCCAGTTAATTAACGGCTAATGAAAGAAAAGGAAAACGTTTGTTAAGGTGGAGGAAGGGCTGCAGTAGCGTGACTGTGCAAACTGTAAATCCCAGCTGCTCTGGTAAAAGCTGGACTAATCTCAAGGCATTGCTAGAGGCCAGGGGTGTCCTGATATACTGCTATTGACAATCTCCATAATAATTAAAACTGAAAAAACTCTATATATTATAGGACAATAACATATGATAATATTACAAACACATTATTACAGTCACACTTATTGTTTATTGCGCCTTTAGTACTACTACTCTGCAGGCTCAGCTTATCTACGCACTTTATGGCTTTCAGCTTTTCTTCGCTGTCACACCAGGAGAGGCTCGCTTCCCACAGCAAGCCTGCTAAGTTAGACTGACTTGCTCACACAGGCGCAATTATGCTGTTAGGTTGCTGAGCGAAGAATCGGAGACGGGAGAATTGCTGAAAACTCAACTCGGAGTTTAAATGCTGATCCTCCTGCTTTCTGATCATTTGCGCTACAACTTTGCCCCGTGCTTTGACTCAAAGGTGTGCCTGCAATTTGTAGCTTTTAGTCACTGTTTGGTGCTGGTTTCAGCTGTACAGAGGACTGTGTATATCAGTGACATTTGTTCAAATGGTTTATCAGTGATTTTTTTTCTTTCTTTTTTTTTGGCAGGAGATTATGGTGAATACAGCAGTCTTTTTTCCATCCTAGTATTTTTACATCGAGAATCCTGTTTCTATCCCACTCTAGTTATATTTCCAAGTTTCCAAATCCAGTAAACTACTGGGAAGAAATGCAAATTGCTTTTCTTTCTTGGGGCGGTTGACTCTGCTTTTAGCATCTTTTATTTATTCAGAGAGTTGGTATGAGGTGACAGAGCAAAAAGAAACGAGGATGAGATGTGGAGTCAAACCCAGGTCAGCAGAGGAGCTCAGGGCTCCGGAGGATGCATCCATTACCGTTCAGCGGTCTGAGCGAGAGGAGAATACATTTCATGTAAATGGGCTGCCATGACTTTCTACATATTTTACAAGTCTGTTTTTAAAAAAGATGTCGCTGCTGATGTTCAGCTGTGTCCACGTGCTGTTTAGAGGGTCAGCAGCCTGATGGCTCCCAAGTGTGACGCCAACTGTGTTACATGTAGCAAGGGCCCAAGTAAAGGTCATTAATGTATGGCTATGATAAAAGAAAATACTGCTTACACGTTTAGGTGGAACTAATTTTCTTTTTTCCTTTTCCACAACCTTCCTACTTTCTCTCCTCAGTGATGGTCGGGTGGAGGTGCTGGGAGGGGGCAGTCTACAAATTTCCAACCTCACGGAGGCAGACGCTGGGATCTACACCTGTGTTGCAGACAATTCCAACACCACCATTGAAGCCCAGGCCCAACTCGCAGTACAAGGTACCTTTATCAGCCTGTATTGTCCGCTTCCTGGTTTAAAACCAAAGGTCCGAACTGGATATCAAACCATACGGGAATATCACAAATGACCCATTTATTCTGAATGTCACTACAAGGATTAAAACATCCTAGTGTGGTTACAAGTCATAGCGGCAACACAAGCTAAATTAATTCACAGATTAGAAATTAGTGTGAAGCAGCAGCACGCGAGGTTGCATTAGTTACTAAGGAGAGTGCAGTGGAGAGAAGCTGAGCCTCTCCAGCTTCGACTGAACTCTCAGACCATCCTTCATCACCGAAAACAGCCTCATCTCATCTGATTATGTTTGGGAATGAGCTTATTAAAAGCCCTTCGGACTCATATCCCAGAAGCGAAACAAAGCCACTGAGAGCTCAGGATGAAATGAAATGAAACAAAGTGGATTTCTTGCATGCAAGCTATGCAGAGGTAGCGGTTTCCCAAGCACGTGGCTCAGTCCTGTTGAAAAAGGATATGCTCTTGCAGACACACATAGGCAGTGTTGGCAGTGAATATTTGCCACGGAAGCGTTCGTATCTGTCGATATCTGCTGTGTTTTTTTCTTTCTCCTCATGTCATTCATCTCGTCAGAGGAATAACAGAAGTATTTGAGGTGCGTACCAGACACTAGAATTAGGAAGGACTAGCTGGAATAGAACACAGAAGCAGTATGTAATACAATTTATCTTTATCTGTGTCTTTATGTTATTATTTTTCAGAGGATAGCATCTGTTGTTGAAACTACCCGAGAATCCGCTCTGTAATCAGAGTTTATGTTGGTTAGAATAATGCACGTGAATCCCACATAGCCCATGTGTATTTGTATGCTTTTCCCCGACGAGGCGAGTCAACAGGATTTGGTGTGAAATAACTTTAAAATGGGGGAAACAGCCCGAGGCTCGTTCTGAAGGTTCATTGCATTTCACACACAGCCCCAATCGTGCCACGACTCCCAACCCTTTCTTCCCCAAATCCCTTCATCTCTTCATCACCCCCACCATCCACCACTCTTTCATCACTTCCCGTCGCTTACTGTGATTAAAGGAGACAGTAATGGAAAATCGGATCAGGTCACAGGAGGACATCTGACTTCACTCGTTTTTCTGTCCTCAAGTCTGTCCAGCGAATTCCCTCTGAAATCCTTCATGTTTTCAGCTCAACTCCCGCCCCCCCACCGCTGGCCTCCACTTCCACGGTGACAGGACTGGAGAAGATTGATCAGCCGGCTTGAAATATTGTTGAAAAACATGCGTCACTATAATAGAATAAAGCAGTTGGATTAGTTCCAGTGCTGTTGACTCACGGGGCTAATTGCGTTTGCTTCGTCCAGATTCATAAAGAAACCAGATTGTGGCATTGATTTGCTTCCTTGACAACAGAAGTGACCCCGGAAAGGTCAATTGTTTCCCTCAATAAGTAGTCGCGCTTGTAAAAGACACTCGGATCAATGTGCTATGAATCTATACTAACAACAAAACAATTTTTCCTATGACTGACTCCTTCTAAATTACCTTAGGGCCTCTTCAGCTGCAGTAACAAGAGGAAATTGTGTGTTTACGCGGCCAGTGGCTTTTCATAAACACTGGACAGTTTGTGCTGGAGAGGGGATCCAGACAGCCAGACGGGGATTTGATATGGTAAAGGACTGTTGGGTTTCGCCTGCAGAATGCTTCAGGGTTTGCAGTGCAGCTGGCACTCATCTGTGAAACTAGAGATGCATACAGATTCATGCACAACATTTTTTTGCATAGTGGTGCCAAAGAAAAGATTAGGTATGCACTTGCTCCACACACCTGTGTGCATTGTCTAGCTAATGCATAGCAGGTTCAGAAATTTTTTGAGAGTCGGGGACTGTTAAATTTAATTTAACCCTCCTTGAATGTGATTGCCCATCCAGTATTTTTAGTCCTTAGATGTTTATTTTCTGCAGTGTTCAGCGAGGTTATCGTTAACACTAATTCACTGGGCCATATGAATATGCTTTCATGTGAGACTCTCCTATACACAGTGGATGCAATTTGAAATGGGGCACAAGCTTTATTTTGTAGTTTGGAGGAAACAGAAATGGCACAATTTAAATTCAGCTTTACATGACAATTAAAAGGAGCATGAGGTTAAAAAAACTAAGCAAAACTGTGGGATCTGCTGGTAAAATATACTGCAAATGAAAGTCACTGCGTGGATTAAAATAAGCAATTACTGCAGTGATTAATATGTTTTGGCTGGTAACTGGTTATTTAATCTTAGCTGATGCAGTGAGTAGCTTTTCATTTTTTTCTAAACAACCACACTGGAAGACACATCCAGTGTTCATGGAAAAGATGCCATTTCACCAAATTCTCTGCCTACATCAAGCAAACAGAGCAACTAAGAAGAATGCTGAAGCTGCTAAAATTAGGTGAAGAACTGTCTAATGCATTGCTAAGACCTGGAACAGTGGATGGTGGTCAGCCGTCATTTCTGAGGAAGAAATGTGATTCTAAAAAAAACATTTGATTGGATAGCACTTAAGCATGCTGGAAACAAATCATACAAAATCTATAGCAGAACTCAGAGCTATGTTATAACAATAAAAGTGAGACTATTTACATACTTGCAATGTGAAGATGAGTGTAGCCTATGTAGCCTTATCAGTGAGGTAATCTGGGAAAGAAAGGAGCAGACAGATTGGACTTTGCAACGGAAGGATAATCTGGTCATGTGATGTGATGACTCCACAGTTCCCCTGTTTCAGAGTGGTGGGCGTATCAGGTAAGAAGAAAGGTGGATGGACTGATGCAGCCATCATGCCTCATATCTACTGTACAAGCCTGTAGGGGCAGTGTTATAATCTGGAGTTGCTGCAGGTTTACTTTCTGCAAGAGTAAGTGCCCAAAAAATGAAGTCAGCTGACTACCTGAATAAACTCAATAGTTTTTCTGTCAATGGATTCTTTTTCCTCCCTGATGGCTATATTCCAACACCATAATGCCAGGATTCACTGGGCTCAGACTGTGAAAGAGCAGTTAAGGGAGCACGTGTACTGGCCACCACAGAGTCCAAACCGTGTCCCCACTGAGAATCTTTGAGTGCTGGAGAAGACTTTATGTTGTTAGTGTTAATTGATTTTTAGTTTTTGATTGCACTTTGGAAAGATACGGTTTTCCCATTGGTTGTTAGTGAAGAATATATGGGTTGCAAAAAGGCCCATAAACACTTACTTGGTTTGAGCATGCCATTACGCAGAAATGATATCGTATTTACATGCTGCCTCGTCTGGCCTCATTCTGTTTCTAGTTAATCCAAGTACTGTCTGTGTAGCCAAAGCCTGTAATAGCTTATACCTCTGTGCCATAAAGCTCCAATGTTCACTGTTAACACCATGTAACTGAGAGACATCGGTGGCTGGATGATATCTGGGTTTCACTGTAATTTTACACTGTATTTCACTCCATCCTGCTGCGGTTAAAGCTCATCAGTGTACCAAAGGAGTGTGTGAAAAAAGTGTTTTCATGTAGTGTTTTGTTTCTAATACATGTATGTGTAAGTCTCAGCATGGGATTACACTGAGAAATAGTAGCCTCTACCTGCGATACTTTTACAGTAGAGGTCCAACAAATGTAAAAAGTGTACATTGCACTGTGCGCTGTTTGCTTCTTGAGACAAAATTTCACCAGCTTGTACCAAGCAGTAGTCAATTAAGAATCAAAAAAAAAGAACCCAAAACAAAAAAAACGGAAAAAAACACTATCTATTGCATATCCTGCAAATCTTACAGCTGTGGACAAAGCAAGGAAATAAACAAATATATGTCTTTTCAATTTGTCACCACATACAAAAAGAAGCTTTCAAAGCGATACTGTCAGCAGCTGTCACACATAAGCAATGGCTGTCTGAGAGCAGTGTGCTCCATATCTGTCTTTTTATGAAATATAATCAAAGTGTCAGTGAGTTAAAGGGGATTCGAGTTAGAGAACTTTTACAACTCCCAGCAAGACAGGAAGTTTTAAAAAATGCGAGCCTCTAAACAAGTGTTTACAGTAACATTTAGCTCAGCTTTCCACTTGAATCACATCATTCACAGAAACAAGTGTCAGCACCCTTGTATGTGTTTGTGGGATAACTGCGAGTTTGTTTGAGTGTGTGCTCTGCTCAGTATGATTTTGTTTGACATCTCAGCCTCTGTTAGAACTGGCAAGAGGATAAATGAAGCCAGAGGAGGCAGTAGCTTTTCATTATGGTCTTGCATTGCAGGGGGCACCACCCAGACCTGGACTTTCTATATGGGTGTGTGTTTTGTGCAGGACAAAAATAGTTTCCCCACAAACGTACAGTATATGTTACCAGTTTTATGAGGCTTCTTGTCAGTGGCCCTCATTTATGGTATCATCATGCTATCAAGTTAATTGCTCTGGCCTGTAAAAGACTCTTTCCCAAAGGCTGAGCACTCTGGAATGTTTTTACCATGTTACAGAAATGGATAAAAATAGCAACGAACATACAGACGTGCTCAATTTACTCCTTTTATTATAAAAAGGAATTTTTTTTTTTTTTTTAAGTAAGTCACTGAAGGTAATGTGAAAAAAGCTTCACAAGACTTAATTTTTATGGGCAGGGCTAAATAAAGAGGTTTGTAGCAGCCAGATCTGCTAATCAAATACATGTGATTAATTCATTGTCTGCAGTTGTGAGCACCTTTATAAAAGCAGAAGTCTGGGCAGGTTGGATCATTCAGGTGTGTTTACACAGTGCCACAATCTTCCCAGAACTGGATGTCCCAGGAAATTCACCCCAAGGTCAGACTGTGCAGGAAAAAAAAGAGAGCAAGAGAGTGAAAGAGAGACAGCTCCATCTCAGACTCTACAGGCCTCAGAATGTTAAATATTACATTTCCTGACACTACTGTTAGAGTTGTTAGCAGAAAGCCTTTTCTCTCCAAAAAGAGTATAGTTACATGTGAACAAACCACAAGACTTCTGTAATAATGTTTTTTGAACAGATG